TTACAATGTTTGGGATGAGTTTTTGGAGATATTTATGTGACAAATCTCTTCAAGTGTATGGCATCTTCCATTTTCTGGTTGTGACCATTAATAAAGTCTGAAACTAATTTAAAACTGTGTTTGAAAAGCCTCCTTTGGGGAAAGTCAGTAAAAGTATGTTATGTATTTGTTAATTGTTTTGTGAGAAAATTCTTTCACAAGGAGAAAGTCATACACATATTAATCAAAAAGTTGTCACAAACTGTTCCTGTGTTGTCTGGACTGCAGAGCTTGGGATCTTGTGATTGCCTGAGGTTGAAAACATGTAGAGTTTCACTACAACCTGTTGCTTATAATGTTCCAATCTTGGACAAAATACAGTTTTGCAATTTGATAAATTATATGATTCTTTGATATTGACTAGATAAAGAGGACAGTGGCCTTTGTGAACAAGCGGCTGTCGCATTGGAGAGTGGTGCTGTGGTCTGTTGTGTAAACAATCAACTTCAGGCATTGAAGGTACATGCATGCTCAATGAACTTTTGAAGAAAAATTTGCAACAGCGTAAACAACAATATTGCAAATGTTGAATTTTTTTATTCTTTCTGCTCAGGTTTGTTTGTCATCAATAAATCGTTTGATGAACAGTTATCCTGAGGTGGCTCCCACTCTGGTTGAAAGTGTGTCCAGCTTGCTTCCAACTTCATCTGGTGAGGGCTCAATTTCTTCATATTTCTCACTTCTTTACACTAAAATAAAACAGTAAGTGGGAGAGTGAAATCTCAAAGGTAAAAAAACCCTTATCATCAATAGCCCTGTAATCTTGATTGACTGTCTGCTAACAGGTGGCCTACAGTTGGTAATCTGTTGCTGATCTGTCAGTTAGTTGTTGGCAACACTATCTGCATATTGCCTTATTTATCATGGCAGGCCAAACTTGAGAGGAAGTAATTACTGCTTTCAGCAACTATTCAGCTTAAAGGTTTTAGGACAGTAAAAAACTTTCAAACCTTACCTTGACCTAATACTAGATTCTCCTTGCTAATTTACAAGAAAAGAGTTGGAACTAGCTGGGAGAATTTCATATCAGATTTTGGTGATGAAGTGGAGACTTCTAATTCTGTCATTGTGCTCTTCTTTTCAGGTGCCATAGCGCTAGAGCTATGTCATGTGATGGTCACTATGGCAACACAGATTCCATCTGTACTTGCACCTTTAAGAAGTGAAATTCTCTCACACTTTGCCAAAGTTGTCATAAATGCAGATGATGACAGCAAGGAATCAAAAGATCTAGTGGTATGTGTTTTTTTTTAGAGAATTGCTGTTTGTCTGGAGACTTGTTTTCCAAAATACTCTTACTAAATTACTTTTTCATCTTCTTTGCACTGTAGGTTGGTATGGCAACGTTAGTCTTACAGTCGTATCAAAGTGTTGCGCACAATGAGGACGAAACTTCAGTTGCAAACTTGGAAAAAATGTTGCTGGAAAACCTGGGAAAATTAACTACAACGTCAAGATACTGGACCATGTTCAGAGTTGGCAAGCAGGCCACAAGACTGGTTAGTTTGTTCGGTAACACTGTCTTGTGTACCAATGTCTTTAGATTTGGTAGGGCTGTCTAATTATGCTAGTCAGGACTTAACACTTAGTCTAGGGGTAGCCCACTAGCCACAGACTAGCAGAAATTCAGTTTTGGCTAGTGGTTCTATGAGCCAGTTTGGCTAGTAATCAAACTAAAATTGTTGTAATATCTAAGATGTCATTAGCCACTTAGTGGCTAGTAAGTTGAAAAGTTCGTGTTGAGCCCTGTTTATTGCTTTAGACTGGGAAGTTTCCATGTTCAGTTCCTGGGCAAAGAAAATCTTAAGTTTGTACTTATCAAAGAAATTGTACTTATCAAGATCATTTCTTTGTAACAAATAAAAATGTATCCTAAACTTTTCCTTCATCATCTCTCAGGGTTTTCACAGCATTGCAGCTAAAATTTTTGGAAACCTGTCATCTAAGGTATACAGTGTGATGCAATTTTCTCATGAACTGTTTTATTTTTAGTACATGGAGAAGGTGAATTCTAACTTACTGTTGGTAATAAGGAGTACATAACAGTCCATGATAGAAGAAAAGTGTTTGGCCATTACTTAAAACATAAGAGTTGTCATGGTATTGATAATTCTGTTTGAGTTATGGTTGGGAGGTGTTTTGGTGCAATGGGAAGTATGCTGGGCTGTGAGGTCCAGTTTTTTGAAGGCTTGTTAGCACTAATAACCCAGGGTTAAATTTTAATCTAGATTTCTATATTTCTCTGTTCAAAACCCTTTTTGGGATAATTTTCCCTATTGTTTTTAGAGCATTCAATCATCAGGTTGTAGACAAAAAGAAATAAACTGAATTTGATCTTCAAGGTTTCTGATCTGAAATAAAATTTCAAACTAACCCTGAGTTATCTTAACCCAGCTTTGAACAATCCAGCTCAGGTCAAGAGGTCCATTGTCAAGACCTGGCGGGGGAAGGGGGAGGGGGAGGGGGGATCAATGTTTTGTGTTCTTGGGAAAAGGGCTTTACTCTCACAGTGCCTCACTTCACCTCGGGGTATCAATGGGCGTTGGAAAACTGTTTGTGAAGCCTGATAAAATTCAGGGGGGGAACCTTGCAATGGACTAGCATCCTATCCTGGGGAGAGTTGTAGTACTCCTAGTTGCCTTGTGCTATGGAAACTGGAGTACACCCGAGGACAGACTTAACCTTTTTTCCTTTTGTTGCCTTATTGTCTTTCAGGTGGCATCTGAACACTTCTACTTCTGGTTAACTGCCTTGAAATGTTTTTGTGAGGCAGAGAGTGTGCTGCGTGTCTCGTGTGATAGTCAGCTGATGTTAGCTAAACAGATAGCGGAAGCTTGTGCCAAGTACCACAAAGGCATTACAACCCTTAAGGTTTGTCTGCATGTTAAGATGGTGTTCTTGTCATATTAACTCTAATTTTAAGTACTAGTGTATCAGGAGCTAACAACTTGCACTCCAAGGACAAAGATGGTTAGCATAGTCACCAAAAACTTGGGAAAAGTTCATTTTATTTCCCTTCTTCCAGTAGGTGATTTTGTTATTAAATGTCTAACGTACACCTTTGCAATCATTGAATGATTCAAATTGTTTTC